CGGATCGGAGATGGACGTGGGCAGGCTCCGAGGCGGCAGCTCGGAACGCGGCGCAAGTTGGTCCCCGGCTGCAGGGACCAGGGTCGTGCGGGAGGAGGCGATCGGCCCTGTAGGCACCGGGAGGCCGGAGGGGGAGCGCCGGGGGGACGCAGGATCGGGGCGCGCGGTGTGTGTGGGAACCGGCTCCAGCGGAGCAGAGTTTAACGGGCCCGGCTCCATCAGAACCGACTGCTGCAGCCGCGAACCCAAGGGCTGTTCAGCTGGAAGTTTCGTGAGGCAGAGCAAAGTTAACAGGTAACTCTTTGCGACCGGTGGTCCGACCGCTTGAACTGGTGTGCTGAACTTGAGCAGATGACTGAAGCCAGAGACAAAGACCCGGGTTTCTTCTTGAGGCTCAGTACACCGGGAGAGGTTGTCTGAATCGCAGCCCGTGGTGTTTATAATGGTATCACGTGTAGATGAGATTGCTGCTCCATGGCTCCTCATAAGCTGTTTGCCTGATTCTTAGATTGGCTGTTCCAGACACGTCACTGACACTTTTGTGGCTTCCATATTTACTTAATCTAAAGACTGCATTGACCAGTAGTAAAGCACAAACTACTTAAATAATTTTTTTTCTGAAATCTCATTAATTTTATGAAAAAACATATTTTTTTTAATAAAAAAGACATTCAATAGCTATAGCTTATGCAGTGTAAAGTTAATGTGCAGTACTTGAGCTTATTTAGTGATGTATGTACTAAGAGTGGGCAAAAGTTATTTAAAGTTATGGTGTTTGGGTGTCTTGTGTAGGATTAGAATCAGTTTGTGTTTTGAGGAAATTAACTGCTTATTAAGATAGAACAGGAAATACAGTCAGTGAGCATTAGGACATTTCTGGCTATTCTGTGACTCTGTGGCCAAGCCCATAAACAGGTAATTTAGTGAATAATTTTAAGTAGTTGACAGAAGAGAAGCTCCTATACCAGAAGTCTCTGGTAAAGTTTAACCTGTCTTTCGCAGTGAGCAGCTGAATTGGAGCCAGTCTCACAGAGATCTGATGATGATGATCCAAGAAATGAAAAGGTGTTTGCCTGAAGAGAAAAGGAGTTCCAGCAAGTCTAGCACCATCAGTGCTCTCAATTATGCCTTGCAGTGTGTCCAACAGGTCCAAGGTACGTGTGGAAAAAATCTGGAAGCATAGAAGCTGTACAGCAGCTTGGTTTGAATAAACATATCTGCTAACAAACAACATGAAAACAGCTGTCCTGCAGACAGTTGACTTTCTGAAGCACTGTGGGTTGTTTGGTTTTTTTGTTGCCTTTTTAAAAATCATGTTATCTTTTCTTTTAAAATGCCCACCTACTGCTTCTCTTTTCTTAAGAATCCTATATCTATAGCTGCTTACTAATAACTTTGTCTATATATTGGAAAAAAGCATTCATGCCTCACTTTGAGAATTATTGGATAATCTGTGTTTCCAACAGAATTAAGTAGCTAAAATTGTTAGTAGCTAAAATTGTTCTTTTGCCGTCACATTCTGTCCTTTCTTCTTCTTCATGCTCCAGTAGTGTAATCAGTATTCCTTTTTCCTTTGTCACTACACAGACTTTCCTCACCTCACCTTGGACTTCACCAAAATGATGACAAAAGTACAAGGGCTGTAAGAATACTTTCAAAATAGTCTCCTTACTGACTTCCTTGTGTTTGTTTTGCTTTTCCTGTTTGTTTTTTTTTTTTTTTTCAATTAGCAAACAATGACTTTTTCCAGGCTCTGAATGACCGAAGAGTGTTTCAGACAGATGTGATGACATACAGCATAGAGGAGTTGGTGGCAGTTGCATCCGAACACACTCCAAAAAACACAGTAAGGAATCCAGGCATACTTAAGGAATTAATCACTTGACATCTCACTACTTCGTCTGCTTACATTGTTTTGTGGAAATAGAATGTGTAAAATTGAAAAGCCTATAAGTTTTAGCCAGACAGGCCTTTGTGTTTTTAAATACAGATCAAGACTGTTTCTTATCTGTGCTGACTCAGGGTACTCAGCAGCAGTAAGTAAAAAAATATATTTTTTTATTTTTTTCTCTTCTTGCTAGAAGCAACAAATATATTTTTGAGAATGCATTTACAGCATAGTAATCTCTTGACACAGACCTAGCAGAATGTTTTCAAAGCTGATGAAGTCCATAGTTGTGAGGAACTTTGGTTTCTATTTGTACTCCTGGATTTAATTTTTTTTTTTAATTATTTGCTATGTGTGTCATGCTTTCTGGCGCTGCTTCAAAGAAGAGAGTGTTTCTTGAGACTCAGTGCTGTCAGATGACATCTGAAGTTTTTCCAATGCTTTTGACTTGAAAAGTGTTCAGAATATTTCTATATGTGGAATTATGTGAATACTCTTAAAATTTGGGGAGAACTGTGGAGTGATAACCAGTCATTCTGGACAATGGCAACCATCACTGTAGTTGCAGTTTTGACATTGCAGTCCTATTAGCATTTTAAAATCGTAAGCTACTATAGCACTGGAGACTGTAGTAGCTTATGCACAACTTTTTATTGGATACTAGCTTAAGAACACATTTCTTAGCCTCTGTCTTACTTGGTGGTTTGTGGTCGTTCTGGGTTGGTTGATTTGGTTTTGGGGTTTTTTGTTTGTTTGTTTAATCCTTAAAGTATTGCTACCATGTGTTGGGGAAGGATTGCCTTTAACAATGTTTGTTTTCCAGGACACATTTGTGGCTGTGTTTTCCTTGCTTTCGGGACGCATGGTGCATATTTCTGAGCAGGCAGCATCCATTCTAAACTGTCAGAAGAAAGTGTTGGACTCCTGCCGGTTTGTCGAGCTGCTTGTCCCTCAGGATGTTAGTGTGTTCTACACACACACTGACCAGTCCCACCTGCCACTTTGGAACATGGAAAGTCAAACAGGTGGGACTTGGCAGTGCTGTTAAATGCTGTATGTGTCTGCCTGCCTGTCTTTGCAGAATGGGGATAGAGTAGTTGTTAGTTTTAAATGCTTATGCTAGCAGTATGTCTAGGCAACACTTGTTCCCATTCCACTTCAAAAAAATTGAATACCTATACAGCTAGTCCTAAATAAGCCTCATAAGAGGCTTAACTCTTACTTGGGGTAAGTAAAAGGCACATATTTCACTGTTTTGTGTGCTGCCTTACTAATTCCAAATTCCAGTGGCTGCTTTTTATAAGAAACGAAAGGTATAATTGTGAGTTTATAGTTGTTTGAGCTACATCTTATGGTTGCTTAGGTGCCTCATCCTTATGGTCTGTGTGCAGCCTGCCGTGAACATAGCAAGTTTCAGGCTGACTTGCCATTCATTGCTGGATGTGCTTAAGTGGTGACTTTCAGTCCTGTGACCAGTTACATTGTAGTTCACGTGCCATGGCCTTGTCTTTTGCCCACCTAGCCATTGGGCTGTTCTGGCATCAGACCTGGGAAATCAAAGGTCCTTGCCACCAAAGGGTGTGAGACATCAGAGGCTGCTAACACTAACATGCCAGTGATTCCATGGTTTGGAAGCCAGTTATGTTCTTACCCAAAGGAGCAGTGGCACCCCTACTGAGTTGGTGTTATTTTCTTGCTGTGAACTGTTACTGAGTTTTCTTCTCCCTGTAACTCCTGGCTGTATATAATTACAATATACATTTAGTACGTTATATTGTTTAGTGTAGTTACATGGCTCAGCCAGGAGTTTTCGCCTTTCTTTTCTATAGTGATGCATTGAGGAAAGGAGCTTTGTAGATCATACGTATTTTCTCTTCATTTAGTTCCAGGTGAGTCATTTCATCAAAAGTGAGCAGGATGGAAAAGAGAAATAACATTAGAGCTGGGAGCAGAGTGTTGAACAGCTAATTCAGTAGTTCATGAAGAGCAGGTTGTGAGGCTTGGGTCTTCCTCAGAAGGTCTGGAGGATGCAGGATATAAAATAGTTCTGATGTGGCCTTTTTAACGATATTAACTGGTACTTTCAATATGTGTTCTATTTATTAGCATCTCTGTGTGAATATGCCCAGGTGAAATCATTTTTCTGCAGGATCAGGCAAGTACATTATTATAATTTTTTGTTGGTGAGGGTTGGGCAGCGGGTACAGCATTGGGCAGAAACAGTGTTCTCTTGTCAGAACTGACCAGTGTGAGTTCGTGCAGCTCCATTACAGAATTGACTTACTGCATTTAATACTGGCATCCAGCAGGACGTTTTGAGTATCTTTCACACAGCAATGCTGAAACTTGAATGGAGATAGAAGGAAAACTATTCATAAATGTTTCTTTTGGATCTGTCAGTTTCTTTCAGCACTGTTGTGCAGGAGAGTAATGATTGTGTGAAAATTTGCTGCGCTCGTTTTTACACTTTGAGAGCAAAGGCAAAGGGTTTTTTTCTGAATATTGCAGGAGAGTTTGTGACAAAAGGCAGTAACAGAAACTCAGACACCTGAGTGCCAGTATGAGGCCTAAATAATGAGCTACTACTTTCTGTCATTATGGATGGAGTTTGTTGCTTTGTGCCTGGCTAATCTTAGTGCTAAAAGAAGAAAAAAAAAAAAAGAGATTGGCTTGTAATCCTCACTTTTGTTCCAAACTCAGGTAATCTCTTGATTTCAATAAGAACTGTTTGCTTCTGAGCAGATCTAATACTTATTCCATCTTCCAATCAGTCAGTGATTTGCTCATCTGTGTTTCACAATCCCAGGCTCTAAAATCTTTTTTGTCTCTTGAACTGTGTAAGGGCACTTGGCATAAATATAGGAGGACAGATACTGGTTTTAAGTTGAGCGAACTGTTTGTAGAATACAGAAACATTTTGCAGTGTTTTTTCTTCAGATTTTCATATCTCTCATCATGTGTGGGCTTCCTGAGTAAAAATATTTTTTCACAAGCCCATACGAGGTTTAATTATGAAAATTCCTTTTTGAGGGTTAAAATTCTGCTATGTTCAAGTTCCAATTGTCTGTATTTTTTTTTTTCCAAAAGGAGGAGCTGTCAGTAATTTTATGACACAAGTATCTCTTGAGGAACGCTTCACAAAGCTAATTGTGGAGTAAAAAGTAACTTAGTTTAAGTGGTAATGGAAAAAAAATAATTGCCGTTCTATCTGTCAGAGAGAGGCAAGATACATACTGCAATTGTAATAGATGAAGAAGCACTTGGAATAGAAACAGGCAGTTGCTAACGCGGTTGCTACAAAGCCAGAGCTCAGCTGAAGTGTTGTGTACTGCTACTGCTGACACATGTTTGGGGAGGACAAAGGACTACTGCTGCTTGTGAACTGTGGCTGGAGGGGTCTTATTTAGGTTGGTTAAAAAAAACTTGAGCGAGACAGTTTTTGTTTTTTGTTATTTGTTTTTTTCCTAAAAATGGTACAGGATAAATAACAAACAGAAAAATAACTGTGTAGCTTGAAGGAGATTAGTGGTTCTTTGAGAACACGTTTGGGCTGAGAATCGGAAGGTGGTCTTTTAACTGTTGGACTAACGGCATTTCTAGAATAGCCTCTGAATGCAAGTATTGGAGGCAAAACACTTACTTGGTTTTAAGTGGAGCAAGATCAATATTGCTGAATGTTAACCTTGGATGCCAAGGAAATGTGCACAGAACCTTGGCAGAGTCTAATTATCTAGGTCTGTGTGCTCAAGGTTACTCCTCCGTGCAGTAAAGTATCTGAGTCTCAGAACCAGTGTGTTAATCCCTTTTACTTTTCCTCAGGGGTGGTAAAGATCAAGAACAAGAAACATGTTGTTACCCCTTCCGAATCACCCCGTACTTGGTCCATGTGTGTACTTCTATCCACGTGGATGCAGAATCCTGCTGCTTAGCTTTGGCTGAGAAAATTCACTCTGGATATGAAGGTAAGTCAGGGGACTACGGTGAAAATAAACAACCAGTAGGAAAATGCAGTATACAATTTCCTTTGTTTAGAACTTGTCCTTGGATAATTTCACCCTTGTAGCTTCCAGTTTGTGTGTGTGCATGCATGCAAATTCAGAGCATCTGTGCCTTCTTTGCAAGGACCCAAAGCATTTGACCTCTTCACACTATTTTTCAGAGAAGTCTGTAACACCTAAAAATTTGTAGTGTTTCTGTGGGTTACTGGTCAGAAAGCAGTGAGGAATTAAAAGGTTCAGGAGCCAGTAACTCTGTAATGAGCAAAAGAAGCAAGTTTTCTGTCTTAATGTGTATTTTGTTTCAGTAAATATTTATTTTCCTATTAGCTCCTCGAATTCCTATGGATAAAAGAATCTTCACCACCACTCACACCCCTGGATGTGTTTTTCTTGAGATAGATGACAGGTGAGATTTGAATCTTAAGACCTGTGAGGTGTGTATGAAGAGGTAACAAAAAATCCTTTGGCGATGCAGTTGGAAACCCAAGTGCAGTAGTTCAACTGTGCAATTGGCAATATGTAATTAAACAAAGTAGTTTTATGTTAGTCTGCTCATGGAAAACATCTAGAACCTCACAGATCTAATCTTTGTTGACTTAAAATGTGAATTAAACAGAACTGCAGGCAGTTTTTGTTATCCACAGCAACAGGGACCTATGGTAAAAGTCAGCTTTCACAGTGTGAGGGTACAGCTGAGCTTGTCAAATAAATTTGGCCAGATGAAAGCTGTCTTCTGCAAAGCCACAAGTGTGTTTTTACAACACACTTTGCAGAATCTGTGTCAGATTTCTTGCTGACATTTTGCCTGTGACCTCTTTCTTCAAGACTTTTTTTTTTTTTTTAAACATGGACAAGCACAAAACTGCCTGCAAATGTGAGAATCTGTTAGATCTCCAGGCAGAGAAATGTTTGTCCTTGGTATTAACGTGTCTGTGTTGCACTGGAGGATTATCAGTTGGGCTGGAAGTTGTTCTGTAGGCTTAGTTCATTCCATTGTAGATCACGCATGGTGACTTGACTGACAAGCAAAGGCTTAAGGATATAAATACTTGAAACTATATTATAATCAGTGGTAATGTATTCGGGTTTCAGAGCAGTACCTTTGTTGGGTTACTTACCTCAAGATTTAATTGGAACGTCCATACTTCTGTATATGCACCCAGAAGATCGTGCTTTGATGGTTGCTGTTCACCGGAAAAGTAAGTACAGTTGCTTTAAGATGAATTTCTGTTGGTTTTAACATTTCCTCAACATTTTATTATCCTGTTGCTTAACATGTGACTGATCTGCAGTCTAGACAAAAATAAATTAATTAATGGATTAAAGCAACCACTTTGAGATCAAAGCAAATTCAAACCAAAAGATTTGAAGGACTGCAGTCATTAGTGTTTGTGCTTCCATTACTGCATCATTATGTAAACTGAACCTTGTTTGTTGATTGTTTTTTTCAGTCCTGAAATTTGCTGGCCAGCCTCCTTTTGAACATTTACCTATTAGATTTTGTACTCAAAATGGGGATTATGTCATACTTGATACCAGCTGGTCCAGTTTTGTGAATCCTTGGAGCAGGAAAGTAGTGTTCATCATTGGCCGACACAAAGTCCGGACGTAAGTCAGCTGTTGAATTGATTTATTGTAGCGCTTTTCCTTGAATACTCTGCAAAACAAAAGAGTCTCAGTACTGAACTAGAGGCATAATGTTGCTCCTGCAGTCTGTGACAACTACATAGCATCTGTCTTGCAGCCCATTCTTTCAGAAAAGCATTAGTCTTGTTTATTAAATATGAAAATAAGTAAATTACTTCAAAGTAAAAGGCAAAGCAACTTGTTTTAGTATATGTTTTTGCACACAGTTGATATCCAAATGCTGTGACAATGGGTATGTCTGAATCAAAATACCAGTTTTAGATGGGTCAACTAAAAGCTAAAAAGCAATGTAAGAAGTAGATTGCTTTAACAAATAATTGATATTGGTTCATGATTGGCTCACAAAAAAAGGTTAATTGACAGACATGTCACCCAGAGAATCTTGTAGCTTGTTTTCTTCTGAAACATTCACTTGATACAGAATGTAAATATCTACCAAGATAACCTCTTTTAAAAATGCGAGTAGTATTGAATGCACAGGTTAATTTTTCAGATGTTTCTCCTTAGTTTCCTAGATATTTGAAACTATGACTGTCTGACTCCCTCTTACCTGGTTTCTTTTCTAGGAAATGACTTTTTGGGATGCCTTTTGACTTCTCAAAGGGATCTTTTAATCAAGATCTTATGGGGTGTGAGTTGTCTTCTGAAGGAGGCAGAGGGGGTAGATGGTCGTCAGCCTTAACTGGTGTCACTGTGCTGGTGTACTGATTCACTGGGGCTTCATATGAAGCACTTCTCTCATAGCACTGCCCCACTACCCTAGCAGAGCTGCTGGTGGAACAGATTGCATCTCTTTGTGTAAAGTAAAGCAGTTAAAATAAAACAATTATGGTTTTAAAAATAATCTGTTCTGACGCCATTTATAACTACCATTTCCGCATCAAATTAAAAATAATAGTGAAATTTTGTTGCTCTCTTCAGAAGTCCTTTGAATGAAGATGTGTTTGCTGCAAGAAATAAGAAAACAAGCAGTGTTGAGAAAGAGATAAGAGAATTGCAAGGACAAATCTACAAGCTGCTTCTGCAGGTAAGGAAGATGAAGGAATTCTGGAACACTGGCTGGCCTTCTGAATGAGAGGCTGAGTTTGTTTAGCAGGCTAATTTGGGGATGATCTTCTAAAAGGTCTGAAAGAAAAGTTCTAAATGAGGACAGGCTTGTGTGACAGCATAAAAAATATGGCTCTGGGTAGCCCACCTGATTACAAAAAAATATTTTGTTTGCCGTATTTGCCAGTCTTTATGTTGAAACGTACAGATCTGCATCCTGAAATGGCTTTAAGCATGGTAGAGAATTTTTTCCCAAGCAAGTGTAGACCCCAGAGCAATACTGACTTTTCACTTAATTTTCTTCATTTATTTGAAGTTCTGTGTTACAAAGTATGTTGTTGCCCTCTTTTTTTTTTTTTTTTTTTTTTACTAAGAGCAAGATCATTTACTATTTTTTTCCCCCTGATACAGCCAGTTCATAGCAATGTTTCCAGTGGTTATGGAAGCCTTGGAAGCAATGGCTCTTATGAGCACTATATCAGCATAGCATCTTCAAGTGACTCCAATGGGAATTGTGCAGAGGAAATACAGGAACCAGTAAGTCTATAATGTGTCACTGCCTGCAGAGTAGTAAAAATAGAGTTTTAAAAATAAAAGCTTTTACTGTATACATACGTGCTACTTGTAATGAATTTTACTGAAGTGAGAAGATAGAGCAATGTTCAAGGCAAATGTCCATACATTGGTCAGTTACAGAACACTTGGCTTTTGTATTTTGCACTTAATTTTGCTGGCTAGAATGAACATATAACTGCTATGGTAGTTCGCTGAAGTAAATTGAAAATTTGCTCAAGATCAGCCTACTCAAAGAACCAGCAGACTCGGGGAAAAAGTAGAACTCTGGAACCAGAAAGAGGATTGATGCATGTGGAGAGGTTTCTGTTTGCTTATTTTATTTTAAAAGTGGCACTAGAGGTGGGGTGTAGAAACAGTGCTGTCCTAAAACAAGCATTGGGTTTACCTGATTTCCTTGTGAGACTCCTGGTCAAGTCATCATCTTCTTCCCACTCTCAAGGCTAGCACCAGTATTAAAACATTTAAATGCTGAGGCTGTTTGAGCTTTATCATAGTTAATTAAATGAAGCATGATCATAAGATTTGTGGAATTTACAAACACCAATAGACACCAGGCTTAGGCTGACAGTCTACTCCCTTTCAGTTTGGAGAATACAGGAACCCAAACCCATCTTAATGGTCTCCCATTGGCCTCTTTTTGTTAATTTTAATTCTGACTTCACATTTTCACATATCTCAAGATGACGTTGCAACAAGTTTGTGCAGATGTCAACCGAATAAAGAATCTGGGACAGCAGCTGTATATTGCATCAAGGAGCAAGCCACAGAATGGAGATGAACAGGATATGAGCTCAGAAATCCTAGGAGGTAAGTTGATGGAATTATGATCCTTAAGGTAACATGAACTCCTGTAGATCTACAGCCATGAGTTTGGCTAACTGGTGTTGTGCTGAAGAACTTAAGATAGCATTTTAGAGTGACTTAAATGTAAGAAGTACTTTGGTTGGTTGGGTTTTCTTACAAAACAAAACCAAAACCAAAACAAACAACAAAAACAAACAAACAAAACCCAAAACAAAGAAAACAAAAAAAAATCACAACAAAACAAAAGCCAGCCAACCAAAAAAACCAAACCAAAACCCAAGACACACTCCCAAAAAAAACTTCAGCAGATTCATTAACTTTTGAACTGCTCCCTGGGATATGGAGGACTATCTCTCTCTAGGATAACAGACTTTTACTTTATTTTAACATACTCTAGTGAAAACGTAAACTTGCTTGTAGCAAATATAAGTCTACTAGGGAAGTTTCCCTTTGTTACTTTATGTGGACTCTTAGACTTAATCCAGAGATTGGAAAAACACTGCTCCACTTCCCACTGAACTAGTGATTTAGTGATTGTGTGCTTAATGTTATGCTAATGCACAATATTTGCAGTTAGTATCTAGTACAAGTATATGGAGAAAACTGGATTCTTCGTCCAATATAATAGGAATCTGTATTAAAACATTTTGCATTGTGATACTCTACAAAAGTTTTAACTGTCTCCTGGTCTTGTTGATAAGAGGGCTGCACTGTCAGTGTTGATACTACTCTGTCCAGTGTATCTATGCTCTGAAAAGCTGTAAATTACCGTTTAATAACGGGTTGGATTCCATGATGTATACATTCAGATAAAAGTTTTGTTTACAGTTTAAATAGAATTTTTTTCCTGAGCTATTTTCTTTCTGCTTACTAGTTGTTCTGAGTGGATGTTTAAGGTGCTGTGTGGGATTTTTTTTTCTTGTAGGCTTTCTTTCCCCTTCTCCCTCCCCTGCCTTGAAATGTGATTTGAGATGAAAATGCAGAATAACTCAGTAATAAGAGTTGTGCTGTCATAGGCTGTATATATTCCTGTAAAATATGTATGTATCCCAGAATATATGGTGGGGGGCAGTGATGCCTTTGAGAGGAGTATGAGGATTTCTTTTTTTCTAGGGAAGAGGCACACCCCTTCCTGTTTTCTTCAGACATTGAGAAGTGATAGCACAGAAGAACCAGGCAGTGCATTTTATGGGGATTCAAAGAAGTCTCCACGTGTTCCTTCCTATCAGCAGATCAATTGTGTTGATAGTATCATCAGGTAATAAATTATGAAGCAATTTTAGTGGTAGAAGTTTAAGATTGATTGGTGGAAGATAAATATCCAAGCAGTTTGCATTGGTCTAAACTGTCTGGATTTTGAGTTGTGAGATAAATTTGGGGTCGTTTGTAAAGTTTTCTGCCTCTCTGGGCAATCCATCCCAATGCTCAGTTAATTTGAATTACACAGTAGCCTAAGACTCTGTTAGCAGCCCTTGATGTTTGTTTACTGCTAGTTTCACTATTGGCACAGTAGGAGTTTAAGAGAATTTTGGTGGGCATAATGTGTCCATATCTTCTCAATATGCACTTTGAGAACATCTGTATAAGACAGTGCTTATATAATTTGTAAAATGACATTTATTTTTAAATGGTATTATTTTTTAAATGGTACTTTTTAACCCACTGGATAGTGATTTTTTTTTCTTGTGTGGGGTTGTTTTTTTTTTTCCCCTTGGTGGTGGTTGTTTGTTTTTTTTAAGAGTAATTGGTAGATTTTATTTAAAATACTCCTTGGAAAGCAGATGTGTCCAGAGCTTCCTGCAGTGAATTTAAAACACTAATTTACCCCTGAATCTCCTGTTTGGAGTGTTCAAATGTTAATCTCTCCAAATGGAGAAAAAATACAAAGCAGGGAGAGCTTCATGTGATATGCTTCTATTTCAGATATCTAGAGAGCTGCAGTATTCCAGCATTGAAAAGGAAATGTAAATCTTCTGCAAATACATCATCATCATCTTCAGAAGATGACAAGCAAGTCCAGCAAAGTTGTCAGGAAGTTGAGGCATTGGAAGGTAACACAAAACGTACTGACAATATGAGCCACAGCATTTATTTTTTTATATGGCACTGTTGTGGTAAATATTTGCTTACTTTGTCTAGGTCTCACAGTTAAGCATATAAGCTACAGTATTAAGTCTTTTTAGGTAGAGTGCATCAAAATAACTTGCTTGGTGTTGCTAAATGGACTTTACATTTCTCACTCATGTGAGCCATGTTTAGTATGTGCTGACATTGCACTGGTATATGAGTGTTAAATCCATATATAGACAAGACTGCCTTATTTCATAGTCTGCATAGTTACTGGTGGTTTCTGAACCATTCAAACTTGAAGCATTTGGAACACAGTGGATAGAACAAAATTCCATGTAGAAGCTTTGTCATTTACCAATAGATATTGCTATGCTTTCAGCAGTTAATTCCCAAACTCCAATATCTGCTGACCGGGAAGAGATGCTGAAAGATGAGACAACTGCAGGCCTGGTGGGAGCTCCTCTGGCAGACCTGACCCTGTCCAACAAGGCTCCAAGTGTGGTGTCTGTCACCAGCCAGTGCAGTTACAGCAGCACTATAGTGCATGTCCCACATCCTGAATCAGGTACTATTCACACTCAGAAAGCACTGGCTTGACTCATTGGTTCCCAGACTGAAGTATGTTGTAAGAAAGTTTTGTTATTTGGGATACTTTTTCATGAATATGAATGCTGAAATTTAATTAAGGTACTTCTAGGGACACTGTGAAGGAAGATTGAGAGTGGAAATTTTTACAGTGTTTTCATAAAACCTACGTAGTTTTAACAGAGTGCACTATTTCCTTTCCCCTTTAACTTCGTCACATGTTTCAAGCACCAATATGTGCTTTTGGCCGTTGAGGATTAAAATACAAGTGCCTAACGGGCCAGTGTTACTTGATTTAAATGTAGAAAGAAGTGTAAGAATGACTATTTAACCACTGTTGTACTAAGTATGAAGAAGGAAGTGCCTCTGTAACTTCAAAGTAAATTTGAAGTTTTCCAGACCATGCAAAATAATTTTTTCAGTTGTTTTTAGTGCAAAGGGTGTTTCTTGCCACTGCCTCTGCAACCTGTATCTGTGTCGTAGCTCAGATGTGATTTGGTTTCTGTATAACCCTCTGAGTGTTGTGGGAGGTGACACCTGAAGGCCACAGTAAAGAGTGAGTGGTATGTTTTCTTTCCTCTTCAAAGAAGTGACTACGATGGAGGATACTACTGTTGGAAGTGAACAAATTGAGCTGCCTCCTGTGAATGCTCAGAGTCTCACTCTGGTACCTGAGGACTTAAAGCCAGTTGGGCTAACAAAGGAGACGTTGTCAGCCCACACTCAAAAGGAGGAGCAGAACTATGTTGACAAGTTCCGTCAGAGGGTCTTGCTCTCTCCATTTAGGACTTACCTTCAGCAGGGGAGCAGAAGTAACAATGGACATTCCTGTGGCCAAGGTAGGCAGCAGCTTTGAGAAAAGACTTACTAGATGAATTACAAAGACCAAACTAGCAGTGGAGTATGCTTCTGCTTCCTTTGAACTGCCAGGGTTGGACAACAGCATTGTCCACAGGGGAGGTCTGCTCCATCTCAGGTGTCACTATCTTAGACTTTTCACAAAGCAGAAAATAATTGCAGCAAACCCTGCAAATCCCAAGTACTCTATTGCCTTCCCTTGAAGGAATGTAGAAGATCTGATTGGGATAAGCCAAAGTGATCAATAAGAAAATCAGTTACATGAAGGCAAGTACTGTAGATATGGCAGTGAATCTATCATTGTAGTGAGTGGAAAAGTTACCCAAAAGAAAATCAGATCTCTGAATAAGCCACACACAATTTTCTGTGTGTTTTTCTGTTTTCTCTTTTTATTTCTTATTTTTATTCCCTAGGTTTGTCACTTCAGTGAATGTGTCTATTTTTTCTTCCTCCTTAGGAAATTCCCCTTCAAAACAGATGAGCCCAGCTAGCTGTAAAAAAGGCAAACGTGGAAAATTCAAGTGGCAGAAACCTCAGAGACAGTCCTCAGATAGCCACTCTTCTAGTAAAAATAGGAATAGTCTTCCATGGGAGAAGAGGACAATCCAGAAACAGTCATTCTCTCCCTCAGAAATGTCTGATCTGAGCTCCTCCAGTATGAATTTTGTTCATCCAGTGGGATTGCCTGTCTGTTCAGATCTGCTGTCTAGTTTTCCAGCCTCTTCTGCAGGAGAGGAGCTTGCTTTTCCCTCATTAAAACCTGAGTCCATGTCATCCTCATGCTGTGAAGCACTGTCCTGCCCAGCACTTTACTCTCCAAACACAGGCACATTTATGGCTGTGTTTTTTCAGAGTTTGCCTATGTATGCACAAACGCCTCAATATGTCCTGCTTCCTAGCCCTCAGTACATTTATCCCCCCTCTTCACATCCATGTGTTACACTACCTCCAGGCCCCCCTCCTGCTCCATCACCAGGACCACTGCACTTTGTGGATCAGCCCTTTCCAGGCTCTCCTGCCGCATCCACGGAGGACCAGCAAGAGGGCCAGTGTGACCAGGCCTTGCTGCTGAGTAGCTCACGGAGCAGCTCCCCACTTCAGCTGAACTTGCTTCAAGAAGAGTTGCCAAAACCAATGGAGCTCTCCTCTAGTGCTGGTGTCGCAGCGCATGCAGAAGCTACATGTGTAAGTAATGTGAATTTTTAATGTAAAGGAGAAACTGACTTTCACAGTGCTCATTCACCAAAACCAGTGATGATGATCAGTCACCAGGATCACCAGATTTTGTTAGCTGCTCTTTCCAGTGGCTGTGCTATGTAGACTGCAGGGCACAAATAGCACAAGAGGCAAAGAAAGCTCTTCATACTTGAGCTTGTGGGAACTTGTTACAGTACAGTGTTGGCATTTAGAAAAAGATTGAAATGTGAGATCTTCCAGTCTAGGCTGCCATAAGCCACTTTTGCTCAGCACTTTGGCAGAAGCCTTTTCAATTAAATTGTCACCAAGAATTTTGGGTCTGGGGCATTTATGCATGTGGAACTTGGTCAGTACTGTGCAATTAGCATCTTTTTTCACCCAGTCCCACAGTCTCTGTGGAGAACCAAAACTAAGGGAAGATACTCTTCTAATTACTCCCTCTGTCTCCCAGGGATGCAGCTAATGAACGAAGAACAGGGATCCGTGTGGGTCGGTTTCCATACATGGGCATAGAAAAGGCCTCTCCAACCTCCGCGGTAAACTCAGAGGCAGGAATCTGAGCTCTGCAGGCAAGGAAAAAAAATGTTGGCTCCTGAATCCAGATTGGGCTGGAAAGGCTGCATCAGCTGAAACTGCAGGGTAGGGTCCTGAAAGGGGAGTTGATGTACCCATAGTTGTTTAAGCAGTGAGCTTCACTTAGTGAATCAGTGGAAGACTCTCATGTTCCCTGTAGTGCACCATTTCTTGATGTTTGTGGCTACTTAATGCCATCTAACAGGATATGAAGGGAACTGGCTCCTGCTCACTTGTCAGCAGAAAGTACTAACTTATGGAACAGTACAATATCTTGACCCAGTGGGGAAGAATCTACAGCAGAAACCAGTAGAGGCCAGATCCTTGTTGATTTCATCCATGAAGAGTGTTGTCCTGAGTTGCAGACAGCTATTCATTTTCAGAGCTAGAAACTCCAAACCTATTGAACTGATATGAGAACTTAGTCAATATGTGACAAAATCGGTAAATGGATGCACTTCTTTTTTCAAACTTATGTGTAACTTCCATGGATGTGTTTCGATTTTTGTCTCCAGGGCAATGATCCAGAAGATAGTGGTAACAGTGCTAGCCATTGTGCTCCTAGAGAGTTCACGGACCGCTTGCTGTTCGAGGACTCCCAGTTGGGTACAAGTTCAGCAGCATCAGGCAGTGAATCAGCTTTTTCTGGTTCTTTAGGCTCTGGCTGCAACAAGACTTCTGGTTGTGGCACAGGTAGGGAAGTTCAAGATTTGGTATTTGGTGCTAGATGGCTGGTTAATGTGTTGGTAATTGATAACAAGATACTGTAATGGGAAATCTTAGTAAGAGGATCTTGTATTCTTTACTTTTCACTAACTTTCAGTATCTAAAGCCAAGTTTGTTTCAGTCACTGTCGTTGGAAATGGGAATCTAAGATGTTGTTCCTTTAACCTCTAAGCTACTCTGTCATTTTGCTCAGTATCATTTTTCTCTGCATTAGATACTCACTTATATCCTACTCAAGTAAAGGTAAATCTGTTTAGAGCGGGACTTCTTGAAACAGAAGTTGAGCCAGTTAATTTTGAGAAGAGTAAAAAAAAGCTTTAGAGATCTTGAGCAACTAGATAAAATGTACTTTATCTTAGAATTCTCAAATCACTTGCTAGAGCAATCATCTGGGAATACCTCTGCTTCTATTAGAGAACCAGCTTGCAGAAAAACACTGGTGTTTTTAGTTTTTTGTGCTGAATTACCATGTTTTCTCAGGCATCTGCATTCATTTGATTCATGGTAATTCTTGGCAGGTAGTGGGAAAAGCAGCAAATATTTTGCAAGTAATGATTCTTCTGAAGCTTCCAAAGGAGAGAAGAATCAGAAAGCAGAAGAAAAAGGGACAGCTCATAAATCCGAACATGAATCAGCCTGGGCAATGATGAATCACACACCCGAGCAAGTTCTAATGACTTACCAAATGCCAAACAGGTTGGAAAACAACAATTTCTGACATGTAGTCGAATTGTGCATAGAACTGTAGAATTAAAAATGATACAATGGAAACTGCACATACCAATGAAACTCTGAGAAGGTGTATTAATTTACTGTTTGTGCATTTTAAGTCCTGATTATTTCCTTTTGACAATTTTCCCCTGTTTTCCCCATCAGTTAAAATAGGGTGACATGTAACCTTTTTTCTGAAATAATAAAGGGATTGGTTATTGTCTAGTACTTTGAGTGCATAAAGGGGAAGAATACTTACATGTTATTTGCAATTGCTTGCAATTGGCTTATATATAATTTGTAATGAGATTCCATATTTAAAAAAAGCAACAACCAACTAAAGAGCCAAATAAAACACACAAAACTATTTTAAAAATCCCATACCAAACAGCCCCAACAAAAAACCCTGTGACAGACCAGTTTTTAAAGAAGCTTTATAGAGCATATGAAGGCTGACAAATTGTAGTTACTTTTCAACATCTAATGCTGTGTAAACTTCAGTCATAGATAAAGAGACTTTCACAGTGTGATTATCTTCAGTGCCTACTGTGCTTCATTTAGTACAGCTGTGTTGACAGATGTCTGTTTCCTGCAGAGTTAAAGAGGAGGTTTTAAAGGAGGATCTGGAGAAGCTGATAGTCATGAGGAAGCAGCAACCTTGGTTTACAGATGGGCAAAAGAAGGAGCTTGCAGAGGTGCATACGTGGATTCGGACTCAGACTGTTCCACTGCAAATCAGCACCCAAGTAAGGAATTGTGAAAGGAATCTGCATCTTATCCATGTCATGGCTAGCCAAAAGTAGTGCCATTTCTGACCAGTGCCATCTCACAGTGCTGGGGCTACTGGTGATTTCTAGCTTGTAAATAAGAGGAGGAAATGAGCTCAAGTATGGTAGCCAGATAAAAAACGCCAAAATGCAGGTCTTTCAACTGAACATTTTTTTTCCAAGATATTTAAATTCTGTGTAGAAAAGTTCCCTCAGTCACACTATGGGATAAATAGAAATAGTGTAAAGTCCATATCTAGTGATGTTTCTTCTATTGGTGTTGTCTTTTGCTAATTTTCCTATAAAGTGGATTGTTGCTGTAATTGAATAGCATGTAACACAGGGACATTGGAGATTAGAGCAGGTGTGTTCAGCAAGCTGAAAAATGCTCAAAATTGGGCAGGAGGTTTAGGCAGATAGTAAGAAATGCAACAGTAGCTGGCTTTTTGTAAGTGGATTCCATCTTTAAGAATTTTTGTATCTTACGCCTGATTATTTTATCTACTATAACCCTTGGGCAAGCTGATAAACTGTATCTGTTTTATATTAGTATATGTTAGAGAATGTCTTCATCTGTTTAAAGTGCTCCCACGTGCTATGGAGAAGAAAACACCAAGTCAAAACTAGTCCCACAGAGATCTAGAGCTCCAGTAAGTTGTACAGAAAATTTCAAGGGAGAGTGGGCTGCATTCATGTACTCATGCAACAGAAAAACTAATGTCTGTTGTAGCACTGCATGCCCTTTGTGCTAGGATTTTCAAATGTGGCATTCTGAGCTGTGGTATTTATTCTTCAAGCATGAAAATAGAGAAATCCTTGGTCTTGGCTCCAGAACAAGACCAGAAAAATTAGTCCTTGTTTTCCTAATGCCTTGTTGATTTAACATCTTGTGTGTCCTGTTGTAGTTAGGACCACATGGTTGATTCAGATAGCAAAATTATGTCCAGTGGTCTTACAGAAGGTTCTGTTGAATGTTTATATCTCAAATGTTATGAGATATATTGGAATGCAAATGTAAATATTTGATATCTGAAGTGCTAAAGCTGTTCCTAAGCAGTAGGTCATGTTTCCAGTATAGATTATCACTTTGTGAATGCAGTCAGGCTTCTGACAGTAGCAGGATTTCTGTTTTGATACTTTATTTCAGTATCGTATTTCTCAAGCAGAAGAAAAATCTGATCTCTCAGTACATTCAGGCATTTTGGCCTTAGGCTGTTTGGTGGTGTTGCTGTTCAGTCTGCAGTCCAAATCTTCACTGAGCAGCTTGATTATAAAGCTGAGAGAGAAGGCCTTCAAATTCAAGGAAGTCACATGCCTTTTTATCTCAGAGCTAAAACTGTATATTTCACTAACCAAGTAATTCATTTCTAAGACAAGTTGGAGGTGCAAGTACCTGCTTCTGAAAATAAGGTATCTTTTCAATCTCTGCTTTTAGAGGGGTTTCAGCCCATTGGTGAGAGGTTTTAAGAGACCACAACTTACCATGCTATCAGGATTTGACTCTATAACATATGCTTATAAAAAGGAGAATTGAAATTACAATGTTATTGTTCCTTTTTAAAGGGCTGTGTTACATGTGACATGAGGGAAGCAAGTTGTGAGGCTGCAATGGCTGATGACAATATGGAAAACAAGAGGAAATCGCTGGAAAACAAGGGGAAATCACTGGAAAACAAGGGAAAACCACCTCCATTCTTGAAACACTGAAGACATACAGCACTTGTGTTGGTAAAACTGCTTGGTGTAATTCCCATTCTCCATTCCTCTGGCTTTGCTGCACACTAGTAGTCACTGTCTGGCTGTCTCTTCCCAACATGAGCAGTTGCACATGTTATGTTAAATCTTCCTCCATTACCCCTGTGCTCCTGACATGACTTTGAAGACAATCTTCCACTGGGAGGCTGTTGCCCTCCGTGACTTCACGGACTTCTTGCAGAATGGGTTACCTTTCTAATTTCTGACTGCTCAATGAGCAAAATACAAAGGTCTTTGGGGTTTGGGTTTTGTTTGTTTGCTTGAACTTGGCAAGTAAGAGTCTGAAAAGATGCAGTGGTTAAGAGCCTACAGTGGTGAACCTAATATCAGAGAATGTTACTCTTGAAGTAAGGTAGGTGTGTTGAAACCAGCATTGAAACCCAATTACAAAAGAGTAATGTCCATTTTTGTTTGTTTGATATTTAAAGGACTAAACTGAAGATCCTAGTGCTCATGCCTCTAAAATCACTGTGGTTGTTTCTAGAATCCAGCAGGCTTTTTAATGAGCAGCTGAAAACTGGCCAACTTATTCTGCATCAAAATGCCTTTCACTAGCTTGTGTTCATCAAAAAATAAACTGAAGTGAGAAGCAAAGCTGTTCCCTCTGCTTTTCGTGATGAGTGTTTTGGAACCAAGTTGTTTTATAACTTTTGCTTTTAAAGCTGTGTTTCTCAAGATGGCACTTGAAATTTAATTGTGGATAACTGGTTTGCAAATCCACTGGAGTTTTCATTACAGATAGCAATGAAAAAAAAGTAGTAATAATTCAGGAGTTATTTCCTTATTACAGGATCTGCTTTTTAATGAAAGACACATGGAAAACCTTCTGTATCAAGGCATTACAGCCTAGTTATCAATTAAAGTAGCTACATGTGATCTTTTATGTTGCTAGCACTCTGGAAGGCAGATTTGTTTCTTACTTATTTTTTTTTGTTACTGTATTACAGTAGTTAAATGAGTTGAATCCAAACAAAGCAAATAGGAGATTTTAAGCCATGTCCCTGTTTTGGTTTTGTTGTGGTGATACCAAAAACAAAGAGAAACAAAATTAAATTGAGCTTTATTTCTTCTTTTTCTTGAAGTGTCACTAGTTGTAGAGCCAAACTTGAACATCAGACCACATATTCATTATTTCTTACCACCGTTCATTTCCTGTACAACTTTTAACCTCTTTCTTTATAATCGAGTTTTTGGCTGTTGAAATCCATGGATTTCATGAGTTTGTGCATAGTGTAAGGTTGTTGCTCAGAAAGTGGTAACTACTTTCATTGCGTAAAAAGACTTGTTATCAAAGTGCTCTTCAGACAGGACGCACTTTACTAAAACCCAGCAAATTTTGTCTGATTTCTCCTTCGTTTATAAAAATCTGGATGTAATTGGGTTTTCTTTTTGGTGTTATTAATCACCTTAGCCTTCTCAACAAAAGAGTTTTGGAATGTAACACATTATTTATCCTTTTGTTCTGTGTAGTCTCCCATTTCTGCTATGTGAAGGATTTTCACTTTTTCAGGTTTCGTTTACTAGTAAGCTTCAAGTTGTTAAGTTAAAAATACTGTTATCTGGAGACATTGAAGGAAAACAATATTTATCTAAAGGGTTTTGTTACATTTTAAAATCAATTCAGTAACAGTCCTTATCATTAAAGCTTATTTCAAGGGAAGTTATATTTAAAGAATTTTAAGTTTTCAAGGCTAATTTGACTCAGGCAGTGTTATTTTTATTTTATTTTGCAGTATGCTTACCTGCTGTTTATACATATATTTTTTCTGTTTATTCTTAAGCTGCATTTCTGTATTTGTCTTTCACTTTTTTCAGCTTGAACTTGTTTTTTCTCAAGCCGTAAATCAGCAGAGGCCCAAGCATCCTCAGTACTTTTTGTATTCAGACTTTAAACACTTCTTAAAATAAGAGACTTAAGTAGTTGTTTACATCAAGCAAGTTATGTTCTCAAGTAAGAAAATGTGGGCAATACCTTATACCTTTCCCAGTCTTTTTTCCAGCACTTCCCAAATACGGTATTCTGCTTTATAACTACGCTGCCTAAAATATTTGCTCTAAAACATGTAATAAGATGCTTTGTGTATAGGTTATTTTCTGAATTGGAGAACTATTTAAGTAACTGTCAAATTAGACTGATGCACTAGAATAAATTCTAGCTAGCTGTGCTTAAATGGACTGCTTTAATCTATTTTGAGACTTACTGAAAAAGATTAACTTGAATACTTCAGGTAAGAACAGCTGTGTCCTTCAAAATAGTTTTAAAGTTTAAGCCAGAAGGAAAGTTCAGATGATTTAACTCTTTAGCTGTCCATTATTTTCATTGTTTATTTCCTGAGGATGAAAATTAAGTGTGATGTCTTAGCAGACATATATGTCATCCATTTTATAAAAAGCAAGACTTAGTTTAGGCAAGTGATAATATGTCTCTAACGTTTGAATAATGCTGTTCGTCCATAGGTCTGGAAACATGTCAGATGACTGTCATATCGTGGGTGTGTAAAAAGAGGCAGAGACACAAAGGACTTGCACAGATGCATACACCCCAGTCCGTACCGAATCCAGGAGTATAATGTGGGGATCTTCACTCACTGTATGCTGTGCTGTCTTTGCAAAGGGTCAAGATTCTGACCTCTATATAGAGGCTTGATCATATTAAATGAGTTTCTTGTTTGGAGATGTTAACTCTTCCTGTACCACCTACTACTATGAATTTGCCCGGTGGCACAATTACCCTTTGACCATAGATGATGAAAGTGCCTGTACCTGGGAGTTTGAATTGAAAGTTTGTAATCCTGGCTAAATCTTAGATGCAATATTTCTCATCTGGGGCTACAGTAGTCCTGGATTATGGAAAAAAAATACAGTATGGGAGAAGAATATAGGAGGAATTAAGAGGTTGGTCAGTGCCTGTGTGACAATGAAACTAAATTATTTGCCCAAAAATTGCAAATGGTCTTGTCTGCAAAACTGGCTTAAGACAAAAAACAATTTCCCAAGCTAGGGTTTACCCCACTAGAACCACAACATCTTGCAATCAAATGCCTTATCAAGCCTTTTGGGAAGGACCTCTTTTCCCTAAGTTTTCAGGAACTGGTAGTTTTTACTTCAACTTAAATTAATCTTGTGGTCTTTGTAGTTTGCTGGAGTAGTCAATGAGAGATCCAGTCCTGATCTGAAAGACCAATGGAGTAAATACTGCAGCCAGATTTGCACATGCTATTTTGTCTACCTGACTTAGTTTTACCTGGCATAATTAAGATGTTGCAGACAGCTTACAGCTGCTTGGAAGGTCACTTTTGGTGATCAAAGGGAAAACATGCAATATAATAATGATGCAGTTACTACCCCCTGTGGGGGCATCAGGAGTTTTGAAACCTTTGGTGGATTTTGCTGGCAATTTTTTTGTTGTCTTCATAAATACAGAACTACGTTTTTAAAAGATTACTTGATGTGCAAATATTTTGATGGCTTTGCTGTGAGCAGGAGGGACCCTAGTTTATTTTTACAGAGTGCGATAGGTATTTGCTAAATGAGTAATGTGTTGCTAAGTTTTTCTTCCAGGTTAATTGAGTTTTGAATCACGATTGAATGAATTTTTACATCAGTTGTTAGGAATATTTTATTGAAATAATATCCAGCCGTGGTGAATTTACAGGTGTGATTTTAACTGTACACTTTAAAGGAGCATCTTTTTTATAAATAAAACTGAAAAAATGTGCTGCAGAGAACTGTTTCAAGTGTTTGTTTGCTTTTGTTGTTGATTATTTCTAAAAAATAGACTACTTAGAAAATACTAATTACATTTTTCTGATTTTACACATAGGTGATCACGTGGGTACAGAGAATTTAGTGATGTAGTGGCCATTCATCCTCTTTTGGGTGGAGATTTGTGGTTTGATTGGCTTTTCATTCTCTTTTGGGTGGAGTTTTGTGGTTTGTTTTTTTGTTTAAATCTCACTCTGCCTTGCCCTCTTCAGGACATATTATTTCCTTTTTAATTCCATCCCACATAGAAGGGATGTACCTTTTGAATGCAAAGGGTTATATTTGGATTTGCAGGCTGTTGGGGTTTGGCATACAGGATTTAAAGTTCCTGTCAGTGCTGATTTTGTTAGAAAAGGTAAATAATAAACACCCTGCTTCTAGACGAAGTACAAAGAATAAGTCATAGGTTTCATTCACAGGCATGTCTCATAGAGCAGTTAAGCTCTGGACTAATTGCAGAGAAACAATTTGCTCGTCTCTTTCTGCTTAAAGGACTTTAAAAAGAAGAGTGTTCAACAGTGCTTAAAGAAGTTTGCAGGAGAAAGGCAAAGGTACTGCAGGAAGTACAAGGTACAGAGCAAAGGATGTAGCATCTTACTAAAGCTGGAAAAGAATTAGTCTTAGATAAGAATGTGACTGAAGGTGCTTCTGGCAAGGTAAGTGTTGCAGTTCTTTGAAATACAGGCATCTCAAAGGTAACTTATACATTTTTGCTGATGGTTCATTAATTTGTAAAAGGCTAATTTGATCATTCTAAATATACTGGCAAATGTGAACCAAAGTATCTGGTGGTTTTGGTCCAAAAATTATGAGAAGTGCAGTTGACTTGTGAAATGAAAAACTAGGAGGTAGTGCAATGTTTTATTCAGAGAACTGGGCAATGTCAGCCCAGCTAAGTTACCGATTTGTCACCAACAGTCATCCTCCTGCTAGCTGAAGTTCATGCTTGCATTTAAAAACTGGTAGTTGTCACTGATGCATAGCTGTTGAATGTTGAAGGTTAGTTGAGTGATGTGCTTCTGTGGTTTTGGCAGATGAGGAAAGAGAAGTATTGGAACTGTGATGCTTACTCACCCCAACCTTAGAAGTCATGGGACCATTGCTTTTTTGCAATAGGCTTGCTCCACAGTTGCATTAACTTTCAGGATATATATTACATACTGCTCCTGTGCAGCTCAAACAGGTGTCTGCCTGCACCTTTTCATACTTGTAATATTTTAAAAATATTATTCACTGTGGGTTTATTTATTTTGCTTTATGTTTGCAGTTTTTGAAGTGTGACTGAACAGATATTTTTTTTCCTCAGTGTCTGTAGTCTGTACCTTTCCCTGTCTATGAAATAAATCTTAGATGGTTATTCATTTACATAAATTTGAAATCTTGTACAAATTTTATTGACTGATGAGGTAGCAAGAAAGGAATAATTTCCAGACAGGTGCACTGACTTTCTCCATTGTGTAAGAGAAGGGTGAATGCTCAGAAGACTTCAAATAGCTGCACAGTTAATCCAGATTCTCTGCATTTGTAAGGACAGTTTTCTTTGTTGTTACAGCTGGCTTCATCTGTCCTAAAATTTATGTGAAATGCACAAGCTGTGTCAAGACTGTAGGCCTTTTTTAAACAGCATAGTTGGAGATTTATTATGTGTATTATTGAGATCAATGTAGCATGTGTATCACTGTGAGGTGAAGTTTACTTCAAGCTTTCTGTGAGCCCTGATTAGCTAGAGGTTTTTGGGAAGTATGTATTTATGCATTGAACAAGGTAGGGCTTCACAGCTCAGTTTGTATTGTCATCCCTCAGAGACAATTCCTGACTCTTTAGCTCTATTGGTACCTAGCAGGTACCATCAGGAACTACCTGGGATTGAGAAAGTGGTGCTGGTAAAATGCATACAGAAGGGTCAGACTAGAGCCCTTTTGCAGCTGCTCTTTTGCCTTCTTTCTCATTTACTTCAGATACCAAGAGAGAATGTTATAAAAAACGTGGTGGCTCAGTGGAAGCAATTTCGCTACCCTTGAGTGCCCAAGCAGGAGGTAGCTTGCTCTAGTAACACTGTCCCACGTGTCTGTGCAGCCACCTGTGTGCAGGTCACATCTTTTCAGGCCGGTTATCCCTGCCTGCCTCCACTGACTGTCAGCATTCTGGTTGCAAAGCCTTGATGTTGACAACCATAATGTTTTCCATGCTGTGCTTAGTGATAATCAGACACAGTTCATAAAGCCTGTGCTCTGCACAGGCAGCCCTGTTGTCTTGGGTGGTTGGGAACTGGGCAAGGTACTGCAAAGAAATAGGTTTGTGGGTCTTTCTTTACAGGTGACCAGGAGAAATGGTTATCTCCAGTGGCAGTGGGAGTAGATGCTTGATCCTGACTCATGCTGCTGTTTGTGGTGCTTTGGGGATGGCAGGAGGGGACTGGGCACTGTTAAGCTGCCATTGCTTGCTGGCTTGGCGCCATCAGGGAATGCAGCAGTAACCCTTTCTTCCTTGAACCCCAATCTACATCAAGTGACCAAGTGACAAAGGGGAAAGTTCTCTTGCCTCTGGACTTAGATGCAGCTGAAGCGTCACTCTTCTGGGAGGTTCATGGGACCCCTTGGAAATCTTGCTTCCCCTGCCTGAGTTCTCTTCATGTATTGTATTTATCTCTGTTCCATTAATTTCTGCCCGTTGCGCTGAACTCTTAGAAAAATACACTGCCCACAACATAATTGCAAAACATCAAGAATTTATTAATTTCCAAGTAGCATGGAGTCTAAAGTTAGGAGCTGTCTTCATGTTTCTTCATTCTCATTTTAAATCAAGCAAATCTATATACATGTTTTCAGACATTGTATAAATTACGCAGCCAAAGTCAGGGAGGGTTTCTTCCGTTTACACACAGTATTTCCAGAAGCACTCAGAAAGATTCCCACGTTTCTTGTACTGTTTCTTGTCCCTGGTCAAGAAGCGGCCCAGCAAAGCAATTCGAGGTTGATTCCCATACAAAGTCTGCAGTCAAACAGCATTAGAGAGGTTACTGTTGGATAGCTTATGTTCCCAGTGGGAATGTATTCTCTCTGCTGCCCCAGCTGATCCCCCAGCCCTCTGATCTGACTGGGGGAAGGAGAGGCAACTGTCTGGTGTGCCCTCTGATTTAGATGACACACTAAAACTAGTCCCTGTCTTCTGCCTTTATATTTAATTCTGCAGGCAAGTGAACATGAATTATGTTCTCCATTTATCTAATGGTTCATAACAAATCTGATAATAGTGTGTAGCCTATGCTGTAGCAGGGAGGGGAAAGGAAATTCAGCCAATACTGGTTAATATACTGGCCTGGCCTGTTGAAGCTGGAAATTTGCCTTTATTTAGAAAGCTGGTTTTCTGGAGGAAAAAAAAAAAAAAAGTGAGGTGGATTTTTTCTTCTCCCCAGATTATTTAACTGCTAAGTGATTCCACCTTCACAAGCACTGAGGCATACTTTAGTCTGTACTGTTTACAAAGTCTGTAGATCTTAAGTGATAGTTCAGTAACAATTCAGTGTAGTTTAAAATGTGAAGTTATATTTTATTTGTTTCAGTGACAGATGGTAATTTACTTACCTCTTTGATACTTTCCCCTGAGTTGTAGCTGCTGGGGCTGAGACCTGGTAGAGGGGAGATGTAATGAAATGTTTTACCATTTAGAAATTTTGACCCTACAGGAGTCATTCTTGTGTGCCATAATGCTATAGCTGGCAGAAGTCTTGACCTGGAATATTCAGAGGATGAGGCAGAAAACACCCTCTTGCTGCAGCATGGTCAGTTCTTGTGACACACAGTTCCAGCAGGGACCCCTCATCTGTTACATCCATTGCTCCCCAAACTGTGTACTGCCATTGATTCTGCACTTTCTGCAAGCGTTAATGTTTTTTAAGAGACTGTGCCATTTGGTTTTGTCTGCTAGCTCCTTCTAGGCCAATCTTTGTCTTGCCCTGGTTTTGCTATATGAGGTTTTGCTAAATTAATTTGGAAACTTTCTTAGCTAGTATTGAGCTGCAAGCATGGCTGCTCAGCAGGTTCCCCCAGGGTCCCAGTTCACTAAAGGACAGCTTTCTGTTTCCTACTCATTATGTTTTATTTCAATAATACCCAGGAGTTGGGGTACAGTATCTATGGAAGCTGGACGTGCAAACCTTGGGTGCTCTCCTGTAAATTGCTGTGGCAAATCCTCACCTGCTTTGTTGTCTTCAGTCAGTGTGCCCAAGAGCTCTGGCAGAAATGGAAGCAGAGAAGTGCTTCCTAGGCTGCCCAGCCGTTCTAGATTTAATCTCAACTCTTCATCAACTGCAAATGGAAGATGACAGAAACAAGCATAAGGTAAGAGGCTTTTGCTTTGTATCCCCAATTCAATCTGTCTCGGATGACTTCTGAATTCAGAAATCATCATCCTCATTTAATTAATATAATTTGGCATAGCTGGGTTGATTATTTTCCTTTCCAAAGCTTTGAGAGAAGATAACTTCCTGATGTTAATCTTGGTTTCTAATTTATCTGACTGATCTTTCTTTAAGAAACTAACAACAGCAGCTGCTTCCATTGCTTGGGAACTAACGACCTAATCCTTCTGGTACCCAGCAGTAGAACACCCAGACTTGGATATAATTTTTAAATTTTTTTTTGTCCATTTCTTTACCAACTAGTTCCTATGCTGGAGCTTCTCTATGCATAAAGACAGAACTTCCAGTTCGGGGCCTACTAACCTGTGCAGTTTCCCATCTATTAAATGCAATAAAATGGGAGGAAGGACAGGAATAAATACAAGAAATCTTAAAACATATTTTGGCAACTGTGCATCTCAGTGCATTTCTCTGTCATTTAATGTGCATGCCAGGACAGATATTATTAATTTTTCTGAAACAGCAGATTGCTGATTCCTGATGGAATTAGAATTCTGTAACTAGCCAGTGGCTCTGGCAGGTTGCCTGCAGGAGCCCATAGTGGTGCGATGCTTGAGGTAGATAAAACTTGTAATTTCAGCAGTAAATTTCATCTTTTCTAATACATAGCAGACATTCAACACTGTGGGCAATGAGAGGGTGCTATTATCAAACTCCCATTTTGTACATGAATATAATATTGTTGTTGCACTTTGAGATGACACTATGGAGTTTAGTTGCTCTTACCTGCAGGGATGGGTGCGACTGTAGTTCTTCAATGGAGAATATAGGAGAAAATAAACTACTGAAAATAATCGCCTGACATTTAAAAAACTGGGGCCAAGATCAAGTACTTGAAGACCTTGGACATCCATGTTGTTAGTTTGTTCGCTGTACAAAAGGACAATTGCAAAGGCACAGTGGGGATTTCAGTGCAAGACTCTGAAGAAGAATATTGTAACTTCCCTGTGCTGTGTGGAGGCAATTCGTATCGCTAGCCTTGTATTATTTTTCAGTGCAGTGTTAGCAGGTAAATTTGCTTTGAGATGAAAAAAAAACAACAAAAAAAAACACAAACCAAAACCAACCCTCTGTAATATAGTTTTCAACTTCTCTTACCCAGCCTAGAGACTCTTTATATTGAAAAGGAAGATTTAATAAGTCTAATGGATGTCTTCAAATAAATGCAGCAATTGTTAGAGCTAGCTTGTTCACCCTGTGATGTGATAGATGTTATCCATACTGAGTCACAGTTGTCTATAATGCAAGTTGCGTACCAAAAGGCTTGAGAAGATGCTGGCTTAGTCAGTCCAGAATTTCCAAAGCAACCTAGGCAGTACTGATACTTATAAACCAGCACAACAGCTGTTGCACCTGCAAAGCAGGTAAGAACACCCAATTCTTAATAGTCAGCTTTATGCAATAACTTTGGTTTTGATTTGCCATAATTTCAAACTTTGAGGACAGCTTTTTCAAGCAAAGATTTATTATTTCACTGGACTGAGTGGAATCTGCATTAGTGCAAACAAATAGCATGCTCAATACATTGCTATTTTTGTAGTAGAAGACAGACTTTCCTGTTCTTGATCTAATTAGGACTGCATTAATCTTTGCAGTAGCTCTCCCTCTTTTTAAATACACCTTCTGTTAAACACAGCTCATTTTAAAGTGTAGGGAGAGGAGAGACTGTACAGAGAAGTTTCTTCAGATGACAAAATTCATACTAAGGCTGCTTCAAAGATACCCACTGTATATGCCAGCTCACATTCAGTACTAGAAGGCTCAGATACCTTTATCCCTGAATCCCAAAGCAGCAGGAAGAAATATTTATGGCACCAAAACTTCCCAGTTTACAAGACTAGCACCCCTGATGATGTCACTTGTGCTGATGATGTTTTGAAGACATTCCTTCTTTTTCCACAGCAGATCAGCACAGATAAAGGGCTCTTGGAAAGCATACCTGCTTCTTCTCTGGTTTTAACTGCTCCAACCCCTGCTTTGTGACCATTAAAATCAAGAGACTCTTACCTGGGAGTTGATAAGACTTCTCACTGGTGTTGATGATGGGGAGAGTTGAGAGAGGACAGGAAAAGCTGATAATGATGAGACAGCAGAATAACAGCCTGTGCATCATTGCTGTGCTGAATATATTTCGTCTTTGTCTAACCCTGTAACTCAGAACTCCTGTCTGACTGTTGCCTCTGCTCCCAGTTTCACCCGTTATATAGCTGCTCATGACCTCATAAATAGCATCATGTTCTTGCCCCCTTGAAAAAAAACAACAATGAATTTATTGGCCATTGATTCTAAATGGAAACCACTTTGCATTGATGTAATTTTTCAAGGTAACAGTTCATAGACAATAAATTTACTGTCTTACAGCTTGGTGAGCTTGGTGTTCAAAATGGATATTATATCAAACCAAGCACAGTAAAGTTTATAAGTCTGGCATTAAAAAAAAAAGTAACTTCCAGTTATAAATCATGAGTTAACAAAAGGGTCAGACGGTTGAAATGACCAGGGCAATAAGACAGCTGATTTATGAGCCTTAGCAGGCTTGACGCAAAGCATCTGATATGAAATGCACCTTTTTTTTTTCCTCTTGTGAGATGGATGGATGTGTTGTGTTGTATTTGGGATTCTTGTGCCAGAAAAAGTAAAAGAGAAGGGGAGTTAAAACATCTAGTTAATTTACAAAAAGAATGTATGGGGAGTTTAATTTTTCTTTTTTTCCTTGTAGCATTTCACATCAATTTATTTAAGAAGACCTCATCCAGTGTTGCCCTAGAGAATTGTCTTGGCAGAAAAGGTACGGCTTCCATCTGGAGACTTGCTTGGTACATATAAACCACTTTGGTTGATATTAAACACAGGTACCTCACTAGACTAGAGAGACCCTTTTCCATTTCACTTATCTTCCATTTCCTGCAGTTGGAACTCACTACTTAATTCTGTGTGTGCTAGCTAGCATTCTTCCCTGTTTGCCTTTTACTAAATGCTGACAGAGTAGTTGCTGTATGTAGTCTCATATCTTCAGTCTTTATTTCCTTCCATCTAGTGTGTTTTGTCTTCTCTCCTTATAATTTCATTTTTCATATCCAAGAGCAAGGACTAACTGGACTGGTCCCTTATCTTGGTTCTCTATGAAGCATCATATCCAACTGCATAGAGCCTTGAAATTAAAAAAAAAAGTAAGTTTATGACAATTTCATATTCTTTAGGTGGTGAGATTATGCCTGTTCAGGCTTACAATGAGTTGAGGCTTGGTAACTTCCTTTCCTGACTCTCTAACCAAGTGTTTGTGCCTTTTAAGTGCTCTTCGTTGCAAAAGGAGTGAATTTATCTGCTTCCTTTTTTCTTTATTAACATTCCCTGTTGAAGATTATTTTTTATATTATAAATTCTGTGGTTTATAGGACTAATTTCAAATTAGCTACATCAGTCATATAGAACACTTGTATTTCTACTGCAGCTCTAATTCAAGGAGAGCATGCCCCGCAGATGCATTATTTACAAGTTGTCCAGGAAAGCTATTGACTCTGTGTATCACAGAATGGTTGAAGTTGGATGGCACATCTGGAAATCATCTAGTCTAGCCCTCCTGCCACTCAAAGTAGGGTCAGCCAGAGCAGTTTGTTTAGGGGTGTTTCCATTCAGATTTTAATAGCTTCAAGGATGGAATGGGACAATTTAAAAACTAATCTTGACATGTCCCTGAGCATCCCCATAGAAGTTCAGATGCTTTGAATGCAGAGGGTGGGGTATGGGAGAGGTGGGAGATGACCTTCAGAGTCCTTTCAGCCTAAACCTTTCTGTCATCCTGTGCATACAGAGAGGTTTGGTACTGATTTATAGAACACATGCTGCAGGTGTCTGACTGCAAATCCTGTTTCTATGGACTTCTCTCTGCTGAAAGGAATGAATATGACCAAAAAATTTCTCTGCAGAATTAACCTTATGCATTTTATATGCATCTTTACCTGTGCTTCCCTACAAGAGAAGTAAGTAGCTAGGGAGGAATTCTCTCTCCTCATCTGAGTCATGCAACTCTTCGTTCCAAAACTGCAGACAGTGATTAGGTCTGATTTGATGCATGATCTCACTATTGGTGCTGGATGCGCTGTACAAATGCTTCTCCTTCAGTGAGTTATCAATGACAATGGTATTATCAATATTCTCTCTGAGCATCCTCCAAGGAAAGCTAATGAAGCACTCTTCACAAGCAACTTGCGTCCTTTGTCTTCTCTCAAGGAAGACTTGGCCTCTTAGAGCCATCATGAAGTGCGTCATGTGGAAGTTGGGCAACTTGCCTGCAGTTTATTGCCTTTGCTCAGATTTGCAGTTGTCACTTAGGCACTCCTCTACCAAAATGTCAAAGGCATTTTCCTGAGGGGACAGTGGACACATCATTCAAAGCAAGAAAACAGCTCATCCTAAACAAAAGTGCAAACCCCTGAATACATGGGTGAGAGAAGTAAATGTGAATTGCACTTTGAAAACTTGAAGGAAACTGTCCTAATATTTATCAAAACTACTATTTTGTGGGAAAACGTTTTTAAAGTTCTTACCTATGCTAACAGGTGCTTCCATTTAAAGTAACAGTGCAGCAGTGGTCCAGATACATTTCTGAACAAACTCTAAATAGTAACTATTAAGTAAGGTAAGGATGTTACCCTATAATAAAATATTATCCTTAATTGTCAGAAGAAACAACTATTCTTGGTTTTAAAGGATGGCTTGTGACAAATAAGTTGCTAATTGAGTCAAGAAAACTTAAAAAAACCCCAAAAACACACAAAAACCACCACAAAAAAACCCCAACTAAAAACAGCCTCCAGAATGATCAACCTTCTGACCAAGAGACTAAGGATGACATCTAACCTATAATGCAAAAGTTCTTTCCCCTGTTTAAAAGTGCTTTATAACTAAATGTGAGTAGTTGTTTTAGTCAAGTATCGTGACATGTGGCAAAAGCAGGAATTTCAGAGAAGACATGATTTAGCAGTAGCATTTGTATGAAGGACTTTTTCTTAGGATATAGCTTTTGGTGTCACTTCTTGGCTTGAATTGAATTTACATGAAGAGAGGCATGCAATAAAATCTTTTTGTATTGACACTGTAATTGCAGATGAGCTGCTTATTATATGTGTCCATCTCTTTCTTGAATTTTACTAGAATTTTTAACTACTTAACTTTGACATCTTCTTTCAGTGAGTTATATGTGTTGGCTGGTGAGAGAGGAAGAATATTTGTATTGCTATTTACTTCCCTGCTAGGGTCTAGCTTATTGTTTAGGGGCTTGGGGGTTTTTGCTTTTGCTTTGCTGTCACTGCTGGTTTAGCAGATACATGTCCTCATTAACACCTAAGAAGTTAACTTTAACTTTAAATTTCTAATTTTAGTTAATTGTTCAGCTTCATAGCATGATTATTAGATCTGTTTTGCATACTGAAATTGCTGCATTGTGAGACCATATGTGCAATAAGGTTTTTTTTCTACTTGCATTGCCTTACATACTCTGCATTTTAAGGTGTACTGAAAATAGCCTGTTGGTAGACTCAGTTGCTCAAAGGGAAAAACTGACCTTAACTGAGGCACTTGCAGTTACCTTCCTGTTTTGAAAATGCTGCTTCTGCCCACTGTGTGCAGACTCTAGTGTAGCTCGTGTGGTATATGTTCTATTTAACCAGTTAGCAGTATATTGTATATTTGGGTATGCACAGCAGTATTTCTGTCTTCTGATGTTCTCTCAAATTTACCTAAGATCTCTCAGAGGTTCTGACCTAGGTTTTCTGTGATGAGCTGAAGGTACATAGGTGAGTATGTGTACTTAACTGAACAGATAGCTATGCATAAATGAAGATGGCAGGTCCATGGGCCTTTTCTGAAGATATTTTACTTTGCTACAGAATTGGCAAGTGGTCTAGGAGCTCTCTAGTGCAGGATCACAGCTGCCAAAACATTGCTTCTTTGTAGTATAGTTTCCACCAGTTTGGGGGGAAAAAACCCTCTTGATTTTTTGCCCTATTGGGTGGCACACTGTAGTCTGGATATATTCTCCAAGTGAAGCTTGACAAACTGGTCCTTAATTCACTGTCCTCTCAGCTCTACAGAATTAGCAAACTGAAGCTGTTTGCCATGAAGGAAAATAAGTCTGGCATGACTGGAGCTTGGAAATATAGTACACTGATATCTTATGGGAACCAGGTTCTGGATAATGCAGCCCCACACAGGGGAGGAAAGACCAGATCTTGAAATAAGGTTTCTTCCACAAAAAACGTAATGGAACTAACTATGCAATTACAGTTTATTTTTTAAACTGAAATTATGAGAGCAGACGGTATAAGGAAACACAGGAACACATGTAGCAAGAGTGGAACTTTCTTCCACTCTCCCAAGGTATTCCAACTAACCTTTTCAATGCTAATAGGAAATTAAGATCTGGACAAAAGCAGAATAAAAACTTACATATCTCATTTTTCTGCTCAGCACACTGCACAGAAAGGAGTGCAAAGCAGCTTTGCCGAAAGGCATAGGCTGTTAGTCAGTGTCTCTCCATACATACACTCTAATTGTATCAGTCCTAGCTATAGAACAAGCTGGAGACTTGGGCTCTGTTTCTTTGGAGGCTCACATCTGCTTCTGCAGCAGCCCAAGATTCCAATTCAAGCTGCTTTGTTGCAGAGAAGTCTGTTGTTACGTGTTTTCAAGTCAAGGTACTGGATTTCTACTGACCTTCCAAATAATCCAGAGTACTCCCAATCAACTCTGATCCTAGACACAGTGCACCAAGCCTTTCCTCCCTGGTGTGGGGAGTATGAAGAGAGAGAGAACTGTTGAGAAAAGAAATGGAATAGGTTAATACATTTTCTTATCTTGTTCTCTGAACAGATTAATTTTTGGGTGGCTATATTTTTTAACAGCTAGCCGGTGTGTCTCGACTAGTAACAAGTAGTGTGCTTTTTCAGAGTACTTTTCAAAGGAAAGATACCTGCCCTGCTGGTGTCCTGCGGTGGGTTGGAGGTTGCTGGTGACAGGAGATAGCGCTGAGAAACCTCCTGAAAGGGCTGGAGCGGCACTGGGGGAAAACCTGCCGTGGGGTTAGGCTTAGGACATCCAAAAGATAACTAA